GCTGCATAGGCAGATAGGAATGTCTCCCCAAACTGCAGGCTTATATCATGCCTACTTAGCAACCTGAGAGGAGCAAGGCTGTGCCCATGTATCAAAAGTGAGGGAAGAGCTGGTTAGCTGAGTCACATGCCAGAGATCATAGGACCCTGTCCCTGGCAAAGCCACCAGACCCCCAAGGAGGCAGGATGGCTGATATTCTCAAGAAGGGAAGGAAAGAATGCAAAACAGAGATGATAGATGCCAGTTCAAGGGTTATCAGGGTGAAAGCCCACCGTCGGATCTTCAATAACACCCCTATACCACAATTCCCATTGCAAGGCTCATTTCCCATTCCAAGATGCAGGTTTCCAACCGTGGGAGTCTATCACCCACCCAGGCTCCCAGGCAGGCTGCCACCTGCTTTCTACCAGAGGCGACCTGGCTCCAAGGCCTGGGCTGTGGCTATGGGCATCGAGTCAGGCACTGAGTATCCCTGGGCCGGGGAGGTGGCTGAGTCAAAGGGCCTCAGGCCTCCGCGCAGGCTGCTCAGCCCTGCTGCTTTCAGCGGGGCGGTATTGTAAAATCCGGAGGCAGCGCAGGGCTGCTGTGAGCATCCACTAATTGGAGATGGTGAAACATTCAGGGGAGATTCAGGTGCCAAATGCCTCTCCCTAGAGGTGCGTTAAAAGTCCTGAGCAACCGCAGTAGCAGGCATCCCTGGGGAAAGTCCCAGCAGAGGTCACAGGGGATGGGCTCTCACTCCCAGAAGGGTGGGGGTGCACCCACACCAGGCTCTGCCTCCACCACTTCCTGCCCATAGGATCTTAAGCAACTCTCTTTACCTCTCTGACCTCTTGTCTCCTTTTTCATAAAATAGAAGTTGCATATTTTACCTGGAATAGTAAGATAATAACTATAGATTCAGTGGACTTTTTTTTTCTTAAGTCTATTTTGGTAAATTATATTTTTCTTTAAAGTCCCTCCCCCCAAAAAGATTTCCGATATTTTAGTATACACTGACTCACATATTCTTTGGTTATTTGGAATGCCTATCTGCTGTATATGAAATCAGGCTCTCTTTCCTTTCTTGCTTTTGAGGAGCATCTACTTGTGATGTGCTGATCCTCCCCAATGTTATCTGTGTATATTACTAATTTTTGCTCTTATGTTACTTGCTTCTTCTGCTACTAAACCTTTTTGGGGTTTAAACTATTATTTTTTCCTATCTTCTTAAGCTCATTATAAGCATTCAAAGCCATAAATATCACTCCAAGTACTGCTTAGGTACATTCTACAAGTTTTAATACATAGCATTTTCATTACTCTCCAGTTATAAATCTTAACTATATTACATACTTTATGATTTCTCATTTGAGCCATGTGCTACTTAGAAATGGCTTTCTCAATTTCAAAACTATATGCACTTTTTTTTAAAGCTACCTTACTCATATTTACAGAGCAGAATGCCTGGTGTATACTCAGTGATCGAAGATTACTGGAAGACAAAATAAAAGAAGGGGAAGGAGGGAAAGAAAAAAGGAGAGGAGGCTGGAGGGAAGGATGGAGAGAGGTAGGTCATAGAGGAATCTTAGCTGGTTTGAGCCAAAATTTAGCAGTTCTGCTGTTGGGGTGAACATCGCAATGCTCAGATGTAAGCAGAGACCAGCCCACACCCCCAGTCCCCACCTCAAACATCTCAGAGAAATTTCTGGAATATCTGAGTCTTAGACACAGATGTGTGTCTTCTGCGGCTCCTTCTCCTCGTGTGCCAGCCAGGCGCCCACCCCAGCTGGAAGAAGACAGAGCAGCCCGAAATCTGCCAGCAGTCCCTTGGGTGCGCCCTGGGAGGCAGCAGCAGGAGACAGAGTAAAGGAATAGCCTGGAAGACTGGAGCAGTCTGGGAAGATGTCCGCAGGTCAGGGAAATGGGCAAGTTCCCTGCTGGCCGTGGAGCTGACTGCCTTCCTTCTGTGTCTCTTTCAAATAGCTTTGCCATCCCTCGAGAAGGTTCAACAGCCATGGAACCAAACACGCTGTCTTCAACCATCGCTCCCTGACAGTGGAATGGCAGTGGCAGCCAGTCATCAGTCAGGCTGGTCACACACAGAGCCCCACCCTAGGTCATGCTCTCTCCACGTGACCTTTCTTTGGTGCTCCCAACGACCTTGAACTGGGGGCTGCTTGACCACCCATCTGATCTCAGACCCATTCCCTGCCCTTCCTCTGCTCTGCTGTGCTCTGGGATCTGCCTTCCCCAGCGCCCCGTGTCCCCTGGCTTCCTGGTAGTTTGGCCAATGGGAAGCACTAGAGGAAGGGGGGAGGTGGGCACTAGAGTAAGTCCCTCCCTTCTTTCTGCTCCCTGGGGCATCTCTGGCAGTGATTACATCTCCGCCCAGGCACCCCCTCCTTCTGGGCATAAACTACTGTGGTTTTAGCTTCTGCTGATGGTCCTAACTCCAGGGATATAATACTGACTCCCTCTTCCTTTGTACCTCAGGCCCTAAGGGTGGCAGCAGCTTCCTGCTCTTGCTTACACACCTGGGGTGCCCCTCCACCTCCCCAGTCACCCATGTAACTAATTCCCCGTATTAAATTCCCTCTGTTAAAAAAAAAAAATTCCCTCTGTTGGGAAGACCTAAAGCAATTCCCATCTCTCGGCTGGAAACTGACTAATGCAAATCCATTTTACCGACGAAGCCCGAAGTGGGGTTCAGAGAAGTTAAGGAAGAAGATATGAGGATGTCAGTAAAGAAAATAGCAGCACAGAGCTTGGGGCCAGGTGTTGCTTCCCTCAGTGGCTCGCTCTGACATCTGAGCTGTCTCCCCGTTGGCAAACGTGATGATGGAGAATGGAGGATGTTGACACCGAGTATGTGGAACTGTTACGAAGATGAAATCAGCTATTATCTCTAAAATTTCAGCTAAGCAGAATGACAGGGCACATGGTTACACAACCAAGTGGCAGAAATGGGATCTGGATTTCCTATCCAGCGCTCACTCCCCCGTCCCAAGTAGTTTGAATCAAGTTGTTCCTGGGATGGATTCCCATCCTGACTTCGCCCCAAAGATTTTCCCAGAGGTCCTCCCTCTCCACCATCACCCCCCACATAGAGATGACCTCCCACTTCCCAAGGGATAACCGCAAGTGGCTCTCAAGCTGCTTTTTCCCACCCAGTTCTCCCAGGGGCCAGACCCCAGGCCCCAGCTGCAGAATGTAATACAGCGTCTCTGACCTCTGGCAGCCGGGAGGGCTGGTGGAGACCCCAACACATGGTCTTAGGTCGCCCTGCCCAGGAGCCTCGTTATTAAGTGAGCTCTGCTGGCAATCCTCCCAGTCTGGAAACAATGATCCTCACTCCCAACCTCGAGGAGCCAGGTCTCCGGTTCCCCTGTTGGGACTGGCCTGGCCACTCACCAGTGAGGGAGAGACTGCAGCCTGGGACCGTGGAGCCTCAAGCACTGCCCTGGCTTCCCTAGGATCAGATGCCTCAGGCCCAGGGACTCTGAGCATGGTGTGTAATGAAAGCTGACCTCCACTTCCTTCCTCTGGGAAAAATCCTTCTCCACCCATCCATGCTGAAGCCTCTGCCATCCACTCACCAGCTTCAGTATTGAATCTCTGGGACCCACCAGAGACTTGGACTCAGGAAAGGTAGATCCTAGAGCATAGTCAGCCCTCTATAGCCAGGAGATCCCAGAGGACATCCTGGAGTAGCTGCCCCCTCAAAAGAACCCCATCTGGAGCCTCCCAAATGGTTTGCTCCCATGGGCAGGTCCAGGTTCCAAAAGCAGTTTATGCATTTGATGACTGATGTGATCATTCATTCATCAAAACTGTTATGAGTTCCAACAGCACATGCCCTGTAACAGAAGAAATGCTGCCCTGTGTTCTGCAGGGGGCTACACATGCAGAAAAACGCGGAAGACTCAAACCCAGCCCTTTATGAGCTGGGTAGTTTTCACTGTTTTGTTACTTTTTAATATTATTCTAAAAATCACACCCTCTTACCATAACACAGGCATACGATTAGAAATCTAATAATCTTCCTTATCTTTCAGAGGAATCTCTATGTCAATAACCTGGTATAGTCACTTCCTTCTTACTATATTTATAAAACATATTCAGTGTTTGAGCTTGGGGAAATGGATTGTTTCATTTTGTTTTCTGCTTCTGTTTTTACAAAAGAAAGAAAATGGGATCCCATTATATAAATGACAAATGGCTTTTCTCAGCCAACAGATCATACATTGCACTCATATCTGACTCTTTCCAATAGCTGTGTCCTATGCAGTATCACAACATACTCGACCACTGCCCTATTTATAAGTGGGAAATACACTTCCACAGTGTCAGCTACCGACACTTGGGGGTTTGTATGCTATCGCAGTTAGTGTTATTCAAGCTCTCCAAGTATGGTGACCAGACCAACCAGCAGCAGCAGAAGCACCTAGAAAACTGTTAGAAGTGCAAAATTTGGACTCAAAGAACTCTGGCAGTGTGGGGTAGGGAGGTGTCCCAGCAATTCATGTTTTAACAAGCCCTGCAGGTAATTCTGACGCATGTTCCAGTCGGAGACCCACCACCTGCAAGGACCATGCCCATTTGTTTGTCCTCCACAAACAATTGCAGCAATCCCCAAAGTGTTTTCTCTGAGTGTAAGAAGCCAAGAAGTTTCTAGATATGCAAAGTTAGATGAAGTATTCAAGCAAGTTACCCGACTGCCCAGTAACTGGTTAACTCATTCCTTCACTTTTCCGGTATGTATTGGACTCATAGAGACATAAAGTAAACATATGCCCCCATCTAATATATTCAGAAAAACAGGACCAGCAAATTTTCCCTGAATGGCCGGCATACCTGATGTGGTTCTTCCTTAGTGCAAAGAGATTGCAGTCAATGAGTTCTGTCTGCAAAAGAGCAACCATCTGAAATGTGTAGACATGGAAGTAACAGCAGTGTCCAAAGTCCCACCACTCATCAGCACCTCTGAGGCTTAGATTTTGTGGGCATACTAAACCTACCTGCCAGGCTGTTGGTCCAAACCGTACTCTGTGGCTCCTCGAGTCAAGATTATCCTTCAGCTTAGCATCCAACACATCTCCTTGACAGTCGAGAGAATGAAAAAAGGAGAGGCATTAGCAAGTTATCTCGTGAGAATGCCACTTTCCTATGCTGCCTTCATCTCAAGAATGAGAACTGCTATGTTCTGAATGAGGCCCCTAGGAGGCAAGGTTGGGTGGGGATGAGGATGGTGTGAGGGGGACAAGCCACTTGAGTGGTCCTCAGTCTCCATTCAGGAGCTATGAGTGAAAGGTGTATAGGTTGGGGCCTATAAGTTTGAAAGGTTCAAACTTTCAACTGCATCAGAATCCCCTGGGGGCACCACAGGAGAGGTTTCAGATTAAGGAAATCCAGGGTGGTACCTGAGAGTTTGCACTGCTAACATGTTCCCAGGGGATGCTGGTGCTGCTGGCCCAGGGTCCACACTTTGAGGACCATTGGGTTACAGCAACACCAGATGTTGCAACAAACTCCAAAATGTCCATGGCTTGTCACAGTGAAAGTTTGTATCATACCAGGTAACTGTTGAAATGGGGTGTTATTGGGGGGCGGGGAGTGCTCCACTCAGTCACATGCTGGAGGCTCTGCCATAGTCATCATACCCACTCCTATGCCATTGGCGAAGACTTGAGGTCAGCCGTATCTGATGCAAAAGGACCAGGGAAACACAGTCCTTGGGTGGACGGTTGCTTCTCCACAGCAAGCCACTTCTTCCCGGGCTATGCAAGGACAGGACAAGCCAGCAGCCACTGCTGCACATAGCAAGTTTTTCCCATCTCCAAGTCCTCGCCTGGCCCCTGGGAAGGGGTTAGCCCAGCCACAGGCCCAGAGCTAAAAATGTCCTGCCAGCAAGGCACACTGTGGCAGTCAGGGGAAAGAGATGTAGAGTCTACAGAGATAGTGACAGCCTCCCGACCTCCACAGGTGTCTTCCCAGTGACAGGGACATAAGCTTACTAATGTCTCCACCCCCTGTCCTGTCCTCTTGGGGTGCACTGTGATACAGCAGAACCACAGGCCTGCGGCCTGATGGAAGAGCCATCACTTACGATTGTGTCACCCAGGGTCTCTCTGATCCTGACATCTATTGAGCACCTACCACCCGCCAGCCCCTGGGAGCAGTCACGTTGCATATGGACGAATGGCTCCCATGCCCTCCTGTGCATTAAAAATACTTGGTGAGCTTTAAAAACACATAAAGCAAAAATCTATTTTAAAATATTACCTTTACCCAAAAGTTCTAAGTCACTTGGCAACAAAGGAAGCCATCTTCGGACCCAAAGCTCACACTAGGTGATTCAGACAAGAACAGATATTGGAGGTCAATATATCACGGCTGGGGCCGCTGCCCTGGCGGGTTTACACAGTGAATCTAAATAAATTGGGACTAAGTTTAACCCCTCCCTGCATAGTTTGGAGTTGGCTTAGGCCCCAGGAGACCTCTTGCATGAGATTTGGAAGTGGAAGGAAAGCAACAGCAGGCAGATGCTGTTGATGCTCAGAAAGTCTGCAGGGGTCCCCTGGGGCTGTTGGGGAGCACTTGTGCTGTTGCTGGTCTGCAGGCTCACCTGGATGACTTAGGGCAGCACCCGGACCACACCTCCTCCAGCCCCTGATCAGCTCTCTTCCCCTAGATCCCCCAGGTCTTGGGCCTGGAGCACCATGAGCTCTGCAGCGCAGGGCATCAGCTTCTGCAGGATGTCACTTGCATCATTGCAGCAGGGGACCCATAAGACCTTGTGATTCAGCTCAGATTCCCTTTGCCCTTGCTCTGGACTTCTGTCTGCCTTTCCCTCTTGACTGCTTGCCCTGCTGACTTCAAACAGGAGTGCAACCACCTCCCAGAGACGGTTTCCTCCTCTCCAACCATCACGTGAGACCAAATCCTCACAATCAATTTCTTGCTTCCTATCACTCTTAATGGTTTTGCTTCTCTGCTTGAAACTTGGTAGGTGCTTTTCTTCCCACAGTCTCATTTAATTTCCACAACAGTCCCTAAGGAAGGTCTTGTTGATCCCATTTTAGTGATGAGCAAAATGAGGATCAGAGAGGCTAAGCCATTTGTCCAAGATCCCACAGCCAGGGAGAGGGAAGAGGGGTGGAATTTGAAGCCAGGCCTCTCAAACTCCAAAGTGCTCTTCAGCACATGGTATTCTGTGGCCCCATGAGAGAGTCAACACAAGGTTCCCACCTGCGTCTGTGCAGGATCTCCCCTCCTGCCCCCAGTGCTCTGGGGGCAGGGTCTTCTTTGGCTGGAGTCTGCCACTTGCAGAGAGAGAGCGTCCGCTGTCTTCCCTTCTCCCTCTCCTCTCCAGCTCTGGCCAGAGTTCCGGGTGGGCTAATTATACCCTTTCATCATAAATCAATAGGAGAAGGAAAAATGCTTTCTTGGAAGCTTCTAAACATAACTTGAAGCCCAAAAGAGCACCTCCTTTGAAACCGTTCTGCTTTCGTGTACAAGACGCACACGGATGAGAGATGGTGCTCCCATGGGGAGCAGGTGCATGGGCCACCCCGCCCATGAGAGAGGCGCAGGAGGGTGGCAGGAGAGGAGGCGGGCGGGACAGATCAGGGAGAGAGCAGGACAGAGGGGAGAGGGACAAGCAGCAAAGACCAGTAATGAAGGGACAAAGAGGGAGAGAGGGGAGGAAGCAGAGGAGAAAACAGGAGTCAGACACCGTAGAAATAGAAAACAGAATAGAAGGGCACCTGAGTGGCTCAGTCAGTTAAGCATCTGCCTTCGGCTCTGGTCATGATCTCAGGTCCTGGGATCAAGCCTCACATGGGACTCCCTGCTCACCAGGGGGGTCTGCTTCTCCCTCTCCCTCTGCCTGCTGCTCCCCCCATTCATACTCTCTCGCTCTCTCTCAAATAAGTAAATAAAATCTTTTAAAAAGAAAAGAAAAGAGAATAGAAGGGGACAATAGGGCCAGAGGAAGTGATAAAGGTGGAGGAAGGAAAGAGAATACAGCCAAGATGTGAACAGGAGACCAAGACAGAGAAACAGGGAGACAGAGGGAGACGTGCCTGTCTGGATCCTACCTAATTAACACTTCCTCAGGGCCCCAAGCTCCCCAGGAAGGCCGGGCCCCCCCAGACAGCGGGCGGGCGCGCCGGACACTGGCTGCGCTGGACGCACCCCCGAAAGACAGTGAGCGCCTCTGAGTCAGCTCCTCTGCCCAGCCCCACCTGCCCCACCTCTGGGGCTAATATTCCAGGGATAATTACAGAAAGCCTGCCCGGCCCGGATTTACAAGCGCAGAGAGAGCTGGCTGCTGGAGAGGCGGGCAGACACGAGGGGGGAGTGGTCACCGCCACCCACCTAGCTGGCTGCCAAGGCTCCTGCCACCTGCTCTGGGCCTTCAAGGAGGCTGAGGCCCCCGGAGGTAAAGGGAGGCCTGTCCAGGCTGGGCCACAAAGCCAACCTGTCTGTCCTCCAGACAACGGTTTTACTCTTCCACCAAGCCCTCCTTCTTTCCACTGAACATTTCCCCCCTCTGCCACCTTTCCCCCCCTTTGCCATCTTTCCCCCCCTTTGCCGATCTTTCTTCCCATCTGCCAATACTTTCTCCCACCTGACATCTCCACTGAGCCGCCATCCTCCATTTACCCACCAATCCATCAATGGCTCCATGTTTCTGTCCACTCCTCTTCCAACCACCAACTGCTCTACCCAACTGCCAACCTCTCTTCCTTCCACCCATCCCTCCTTCGCAGACCAACTTCTCTACCTCGTCACTAATTCCCTCAGCCTCCCCCATTTCCACTACCCACCTGCCAACCCCTGCATCCTCAATTCAGCCCTCATCTCTGCCAACCTGTTCCCCATCTGATATGCCCTCCACCTGTGCACTGCCCTCCCCTTCGCTTCCAAACTCCTCCAACCACCACCCACACGCCCTCCACCCATCGACCAGTTTCTCCATACATTTGCCAACCGTCCAACTCTCCACCCCACCAGCCCTTCTATCGCTTTCCACATCTTCTCTCCATCCCCCAAAATCTCCAACCCCTCTGTATGTTTCCGACCTATCCTTATCTCTCGCTACACCCACACATCGATTCTTCCATTTATGCACGGCCCTCCTCCATCTATGCATACAACGCCTTGTCCAGTACCTACTCTCATCCACCACCCCAGCCAGCCAGCCAGTAACCCTTCCACTGACATGCCAACCTCTTCCTGCAATGCTTACCCCCTCACCCAGCAAGCAAACCTTAACACTTCAACTACCTCCCAACACACCCACTAACTTCACAAAGGCCCCAACTCAGCCCTCGGGGTGGCTCAGTGAAAAGAAAATGGATTTGTAGAGCATGCATGCCTGGAATATAATCTTGGTTGGCACACACTGGCAATGTAGCTCCATCCAGTGCTACCCCCTGCCTAGTCACAGCCTTGGGAGGGTCCTCAAGGTCACTGAAGAAGCTGGACAGAATAGAAAGGGGCGTGGGAGAAAGATCCTCTCGCCTCTCTTAAGGATGCTGGTAAAGTTAATTACAGCCATCCTCACACCTTCCCAGCTAACTGGACAGTACAGAGGAAGCCTCACCCCACTGATTTCTGCCCCGGCCTGTCCTGCCTGCCCTGACGGGACACATTCAGGCCACAGGCCCCTCCTCTGCCAGAGCCTGGGGCTCTGAACTGGGTCCAAAGACTCCGAATAGGCAAAGCCATGTTCAGACCAAGGCCAGAGTTTGTAGGTAACCCCAACGCCACAGTGAGCCACTCAGACCTATGTGGTGTCATCCATCCTTTTGAATACGAGCCAATCTGAAAACAGATGACTTAGGGACTGGTTTCAACCCAGGACAGGTAGACTGCAGGTACCACTACAGGGAGTAGTGCACTCCCACTGCAGGGAGTCCACTACATAGAACCTGGATGAAGGCTAAGGAATTAGCAAGACCCGCATTTGCATTCTTGTTGCACTGCCTAGCTGTGTGACCTTCCGGGATCACTTAACTTCTCTGAGCCACAGTGTCCTCATCTGTAGAATGAGGGTCAGAAAGCTCCTACCTACCGCGTAGGATTGT